AATCCCATGAAAGCCAAAAAAGGAAAAATGACTCGTATTGAGATATGATCGGAAATCAATGAGTTAGAATCGCAGATTCCTCTATACAGCCAAATCTTTTGAAAAATGTTTCAATAGAACAAACAGAAGAAGAAAGGAAACTGAATATCACCTTTTTTTCTACTTCATTTCAGGTTTATTTTTTGGCAGAAGGTCGATGTATTTATAATGGATCTCCATCAAACGTGGTAAAGTATTTATCAAAAATGAACCTTATATGTCCTTTATCATGGAATCCTGCAGATTATCGTAATATTACTAAACTATGTGCTCGATAAACATAATAAAAATAACATATTTCAGTTATAGAAATTGCACAAGAAGAAATCCCATTGCTAACGTTACAGGAAGGAAGTAAACACGGTCTATTGGAAGATTTCCAATATTCCTCGGAACAACAGGAACAAGAACAAGAACAAACAACGAATCCTGAAAATATTTTAAATTTTCCCGTCTCATGTTTTAGACAAATAAAAATATTATTAATCATAACATTTTTACAAATGAGTCGGGATAAAAAACTGTTATTTATCCAGTTTCTTAATCATCTGCTATTGGGTCTTATTACCGGAGGACTTTTTCTCAATTCAAGTAGTAGCGCTTCGAAAGCAGTTGAAAACTTCTTCTTCTACCTCACAGTCGTCATGTTTTTCATTTACACTCACACAATGACATCGGTACTTTTGTGTACGATTAATGAACGAATAATATTAAAGTTATGCTAATTATTTATTGTTTCCAGTACCCAGTGAAGTTGAAATATTCAAAAAGGAGTACTCGAATAGATGGTACTCTCTTAGAGCATATTATGGGGCACTTATACTAAGGAATGTTCCCATAATGGTATGCAGTTAAAAAAGACATGAACACTTTTAAAAAATTGTCCTGTTACTTAACGCAAGAAGATTATTTACGACCGCTTCTCACCGTCTCTGAATCAATGGCTTTTGCAGCGAATCTCAAACTGGATCCAAGGATAAAAAGTAGTCAGAAGAAACGAATTGTATCAAAACCAAAATAATCGATAAATGAATACATGAATCGACTGACCTGCTGCAATTTTAGATAGAAGAAGTTTTACTGGAATTAGGATTAATTACTTGCTGTGATACTAGAACTGAATGTCTCTCCGGAGGTCAAAGAAAACGTTTTTCCCTGGCATTAGAATTAATTAACAATCCTCCAGTTATTTTTCTTGATGAACCAACCACGTAAG